ATATTTGCTGCAATATTCTGTTACTCATTTTCAGTATTTTGTTTTTTGATACCAGCTGGGCACCCTCCCAAGAAAACTGAAGTCTTCTTCCTTGGAATAGACAGATTTCAAAGGAACATTAAGCAAACACTGGTTATCTTCCTCTATGATCTTTATGTAGTTACAAATCTGCATGTTGAGGGTAAGAGGCAATTGCTCTGACATAGAATTTAAGTGTGAAATAAAGAATTAACACTACTGCTTTAAAATGTTTGGCAATAGGGTAAAAAACATGTTTTAAGCCAAAGGAAGCTTTCCTAACAAAGACACAGCAGGCTGTCTTCTCCAAGGGTGTATGCATTTGTTTCTGATTAAAGCAACCTCCAGTATTCCAGGCACATATTTGATTGTAAATGAACTTTCTATTTAGGGGCTGAAGGAAATTAATTGCTTATACAGAAAGCTTTATTCTAAAGTAAAATTTAAAAAAAGCCACCAAAAGAAAAAAATCCCAACAACAACCAAAAAAACCCCAACCACAAAAAGCCCTATAAATTCAAGATATATATAACTAAAGGAAAAGCAATTAAAAAGAAAACACCATTGTCAAACTGATAATTTCTGAATACTTTTTCTAATACATTAAAACATTAAAAATTAATTCTGTGTACTTATTCCTTTAAAAAAGACTTTATGTAGCAGTTTTATTAAATATTAAATTGTCTTGAAGAGTTTTGATCATTTTTAGAAATCATAATTAAGGCAGTTTATTCAATTCCTGAAAACTCATGGGTGATGCAAAACTAAGTCTTGCTCACATCTTGCAGTAGTTCAAATGAACTACTTACAGGAATTTACTAACTGTGCTGATTAAAAAAACCCAAATAACCAAACTACAGGAAAGACCTCACCACTTTTCCTGTGTGAGGCCTGCAGATGGTAGCAAGAGTAAGAAAAGTCCACTGAAGCAACATGAGTCAAAACAGCCCAAAGGTAAAAAACTGCCTTCTCCAAAGTCGTTGGGAACTGCTAATAGCTGCATGGAGCCAGGATTTCACCATTTATGGAAAGGTCAGTTAAGTGAACATTCACAACTAGGAGAAGGCTTATTCCAGCAAACCAACACACTTGTGGTTAGTAAAACTGAAGCAGATATCATACCTACATTAAAATTATTTTCCCATTTGTCAACTCATGGTTTTAGGTACAACTCTACAACATTCTGGGAAATGTATGATGCAATCAATATTTCCAGTAGAGAAAGGGCTAGACAACATGTTATTTAACAGTAATAAAACACTTCAAACAAACAATTTAGCTAATACATACCAGTGAAAGGGAGACTGCTCCCTTACAGACTTTTACTGAAAACAAGAGGGAAATCAAAATAGACAAGCAGTTAAACTCAAGATACTCCCACTAACATTTTACAAGTAAATACAGTTTTGTAAGAACTCTGGATCTCAATTTGTTCTGTAAAACACGAAGTTTTGGAGCAACTTAGGTTTTCCAGCAAACTGAATGATTTTCATTTTCCTTCTCCTAAAGGAAACAAATCCTTAAAGAATCTCCTGTCTTTGCTGTGTGAATGTGGAAATTCACAGAAAAAACTCACAACTAGTGTTAGCATAGACAGACTGTTACTCTTACATGCTCTCAATGGAGATGGGCTTTTCCTGAAAGCAAATTAGGGCTGGAGCTCAGCTTTAGCAGCATCCTCTATCCTTGCAAACTGACTTAAATAGAGAGCCTGAGTGATCTAACACTTCTAGATTAATTTTTTTTCCTTTTATCCTTTATTTCCTGCCAGGCAGGAAATGAGTAGATACATTTCTGAATCAATGAGGAGCTACTGCAGATTTTCACAGCTGAAGTGGTTTTGTTTTAAAAATGTCTCATTTATTTTTCACTTGTGTCTTTTGAAAGAGTTCTGCAAATTAAAAATCAAACTACAAAGTCAGAGAACTGAAAAGTAGCAATTCTAAATGCACAGAGATAACGATTCCAATTAGAGACAATATACAGCATGATACAGAGTCTTACAGAAACAAATCTGGAGAATTGCCAGCTTAGGTCTTCCTCTTATGAATTTAGTGATCATTTGACACTCAACTGTTGCTTTGCAAGAGATGTGCACTTCCAGCCCAGAAAGCCAACTGTATCCTGGGCTGCATCAAAAGCAGTGTGGCCAGCAGGGCGAAGGAGGTTATTCTGCCCCTCTACTCCACTGTGGTGTGACCTCACCTGGAGTACTGCATCCAGCTCTGGGTCTCCAACATAGACAGGGAGGCTTGGTTGAGCAGGCCCAGAGCAGCCCATGAAGATGATCAGAGGGTTGGAACACCTCTCCTATGAGAACAGGCTGAGAGTGTAAGGGTTGTTCAGCCTGTAGAAGGCTCTGAGGAGACCTTTGAGCACCTTCCAGTACCCAATGGGGCTGCAAGAGGGCTAGAGAGGGACTTTTTACAGGAGCATGCAGCAACAGGACAAAGGGTAATGGCTTCAAACTGAAAAACAGTTTAAATCAGATATTAGGAAGAAATTGCTTAGTGTGAGGGTGGTGAGGCACTGGACAGGTTCCTCAGAGAAGCTGTGGATGCCCCATCCCCAGAACTGTTCAATGCCAGTTGGATGAGGCTCTGAGCACCCTGGTCCAGTGGAAGGTGTCCCTAACCACGGCAGGGGGACTGGAACAAGATGATCTTTAAGACCCCTTCCAACACAAACCATTCTGATTGTATATTTAGTGGTATATCCTGATATAATAGATCCTCACCTGTACCAAAAGACTCATTCATTGAGTTTAAATATTGTCAGATTTGTTTGGAAGTATATGGAGGGATTTTCTAAACTTTTGGAATGCCAGTAAATACATGCAGTACATATGATGAGTGTGTTGGACAAAGGAGATGGAAGAAGATTTTGTGTCTATATACACGGAATAGGAGTAACAAGCTTTTACACAGCACTTGAAGACTTTATGGGTTAGGATACAATTACATTCTATTTAGAGTGTATTTTTCCTGAATGACACATTAACTTTATTCCTCACTTAAATACTCACCAACAAGTGTTGCTTTGCTGACACTTTGCTAATTCCAAGACAACGCTGCTCTATAACCTTTCACTTCCTCCTTCCACCTGCCATAAACAGAAATTTATTTGCATAGTATCTGTTTTAAGCAGGACAGACCCTGTATTTAAAATTAGTCTTAAATAGTTATTTTAGCAGCTATTTGTCAGATGCTCAGGCATACAGGCAGACATATCTATAATCATCTGCCCTGGGAAAACCAACAGCAAAGTCATTCTAAAAACTGAATTATTGCTTGTCTAATTTGAGAAAGTGTCAAGTCCTCTAAGTTGGTACCAAAATACATTTTTTAAAGCAAGATAGTGAAGTTCTTGAGCATATATTCATTAATTTAGAGAGGCTGTTAAGTTAGTCTGCAATAATCGTTTTTCTTCAGTGTCTTGAGGGGCTGTTGACTTTGCTAATTCTTAGCTTAAAGGACGTGCTGTTAGCAGTGACTTACCTTCAAACCAAGTGATTAATTTCAAATAAAAAGCTGCATTTATAATGAAAACTCATCACGTTCTATGAAATATTCAAAATTCTTTATTTCAGGCCAGTATGGTATTGTTACAAGCATCCATCTCTTCCTCCGTGCCTGCACATGATCAAAGTTGGCACTCCCTCCCAACCACAAAAAAAATTGAATGGGTTATTACAGTACAGGCACAAAGTAGCCAAAAAGCTTTACTTTCATTAAGCAAAGCTGTGATTGTGCTCTAACAGCATTTATCATCAGTGCATAAACTGATCTCCCCTCCTAAAAGCAAGCAGGAAAGGGAAATTTCCCTTAACTGAAGGAACACAGATGGCAGCTGTGATATGAAAGCACTTGTTTCATCAGTGAAAGAACAACAGATATCTGGATACACTGGACACCTTTCTTCACTGTTTTCAGTTGCACTTACTGGGTCACGTGAGCTTGTTCAGAACTAGATTAAACATCCTTACAGGTGTCCATTACTGCTTTCATTATTATAATCACTATCAAAGTTCCACATTTGAAGAATCAACAGGATTTGGTTTTAAATAAAACAATAACCCCCCCCCAGAAAACTGCTGGTACTGCAGTTCTCTTGTCTAACCACCCTTAAAAATCTCTTTCCTTTCTCCAAGCATCAATTCCCTCTCATCCAGAAGGCAGCACTAGAGACACTTTGTATCACCTAACTACAAATTAACACAACGACCCTATTTAACTGCATTTCAAACTTCCAGTTACCACAAGGTGAACAATCAGCATATGGAATGAGTATTAGATAGTTCTATGTACCAAAGGCAAGTTAGTCACAAAAATCTCTACAAATATCTTATGAACCAAACTAGCAGCAAACACTGCTATCATTACACAGTACTTGTTCATGAAACATGACTGACTGGACATCCACCTGGGAAACAAGCCGATAACTATGTTATAAAAATAGCAAAACAAATATTTGATCATAATAACTGCATGAACTAGTGTTAGGAGGAGGGAAGCAAGCATGATTCAGTTAACACAAACTCTACTTATACAAGAGTGCCTCCAAGCCACAACACGCGCAGTTTCAGTTTTACATTGATAATCAATACTTCAGTCCCACACAAGACTCTGACTCTGTCCAAAGTGTGAACAGGCAACAGAAGGTCATTCCATTGGTTCATCTCTACAGCACACAGGCCCATTCCACTGGCAGGGAAGCCAAAGCTTGGCAGCAGCAAGGTGTGCTGCAGCGCAGAACGGAGGGAAATGGCAGAGGTGCATATACCGTGCCCATCTCAGAGGTAAGGTTCAACAGATGCATAATATGTGTACAGTTTGTTTCTAGGCACATCTTTGGTTACATTCTCAATATAGTCTGCTTTACAAAAAAATAAATAAAACTTTGTTAAAATCCTGGTAAAGATAAAACTTTTTTTTTTTCCCCCAAAACCAAGACAATACAAGTCCCTTTAAATTCTCCTCTTGTTATATCCATAAACGGTAAAATCCCAGGGCTACAGTAAGGCATGTAAATACTGAACCTGGAAGAAAATGGAGACATGAAATCATTAGCTCTCAGAACATCTTTTCAGAAAGCTATGTACACATCTTACTACAATACTAAAAGCGCAACCACTGCCCCTTCCACATGTAAGAAAATAAGGTTTTTGATTTACAGCAAACAATTTCAAGGTAGGAGGAGCATAAAAATTACAAGTAAGAAAGAAGGAAAACAAAAAAGAATGCAGGAAAACTGGGCTGGAAAGCTGTCAAAAGCTGAAAGACACCCTTACTTGCTTACCATTCCAAAAAAGGTCAATATGGCAAGTTATAGATGTAAAGTGAGGAAATAAATAACAGCATTAATACATCACAGTTAAGTACTCAACAAACAAATAAATGAAAGTAATCTTTAAAAAGGCTTAGCAGTTTCAATTTTTAAAATCTCTATTTCAATGAAAGCAACTTTTGATTTCTAGATGCACCCACAAAAGATTTTTGCCATTGTTTGCACCAGGAGCACTTCAAATGCAGTGCAAATGATTTTTAATTATGTTCTTCTTCCATGTAGAGTTCAACATGTTTTTAAGTAGGGATGGTAGTGAAAAGAATTTCCTCCCATTTTAATAAAGTACCTTTTATTTCCCATTTTACTGATTCTCTCTAATAGGCTTAAGTGACTGTACTTGTGACAAAGTCCATTGTGAAAGAATAACCAGAAAAATCTAAATCAGAAGAATAATTGTGTACTGCAAACCTCATGTAACAGTACTGCATGCTCAGTAGTAAAATGTCAAAATGTCAAAAGTTACCTAGGGCAGTAACATGGATGCACACACATACGTAGTATTTTTTCTAAAAATGAAAGTTTAAAGAACATGTGGGGCTGAACAGTCAGAAAAGCTGAAATGTTCCATTTTGCACAGAGAACTCTATCAGACAGATGAAGAAATGCTAGTAATGCATGCAGCAGGCTGCTTTTATAAAGTGAGTCAGGCACAGAAGAACTTTTTGGACTTTGTTAACAGGCAGTCTTCTAGATTTCTCATACATGTTGTTATTACTACAGTATAAAGCAGGGTAAAACCCAGAAAGTCATAAAGCAATAGCCCATGCAAAATAAAGTTGCAAATCATAGGAAACTTTGTCCGAGTTAAGTACACAAATACGGCTGCTAATCTTGCCTGGGACTATTTCAATCAGGGCCTTTATGAATACAGCCCATCGAGAGTTTGGCAAACATTTAATAATGTTTAACAGCTTCACCAGCAGAGACAACCACCAGATTCCTTACCTGCTAAGTACTTAATATTATCAAGTTTGTGCGATTCGAGCATTGTTTTCAGATCTGCAACTTCTGTGTCTATTTTTCTGTCTGTTTGGGTCAGTGCTCGATCTTGTTGGGCGTGCTAAAAGAACCAAAACAACAAAATGATGCAATCTGAACAGTTTCCAGTCTGTTTAGAAATTTAACCCATCCCTTCAAGTTGTATTTTTGCTTCCTCCTTAAATGTATGTTAATTTGCATTCAAAGAGAACAAGTTCCTTCTTGGATGATTATATCCAAGGAATTGAATAATTTGGTGAACTTGGGAAATTTACGTGATTACATGTTTCTTAACAGATAATCTAGAAAGTGGCAGAACTGGATGCCTTCTTATCTCAATGCAACAGCATAAACATTAACTTCAATCTGTCGCTCGTCCCACCAATACTAAAGTCACTGCTCAATTATAAGAGCTCTTGAGAAGTCTATGAGTCTCTTGTGACAAAACCATATCAAAACATAAAGATTTTTGGATCGTTAGAGAAAACTGAGAATTGGTATGGAAAAAAGGTAATGAATTCTACCACAAAAACAGCTACAGACAAATTCAGAACCTGATTATGACATAAGACAGAACTTCTGTTAAAAAATATGCAATAGAATTATTACTCAGAAGAGACTGAAAGATCCAACTTGTAAACTGAAAACAACAACTGCTGAGTTGCTGGTATTTTCAAATCAGCACTACTGAAACGTTGTGAATCAGTTAATGATTTACTTCTAGATATCTTCCTAGGAATAACTCCCTACACTACAGAAAGGATACAAAAGGAAGCAGTAGTGCTTGGACAAAACCTACTCTAAAATGAAGCCAAATCAATGTGCTTCTCACTGAACATTGGGGGAAGAATGAATTTCACATTGAGAGTACAATTCCATCTAGAGAAAAGATTACATGCATGAAGTTTCAAAACAAAGTGACTAGTGAAGAGTTTCTATATACATGCAGAGGGTCTAAATATACATGAAAGACTTTGTAGACACTTACATTAAAATGTCTACAGACATGAACAAATCCGAAAAGGATATCAGACCTATAACACAAGTACAAAATGATTTGCTGTGTAATCATCAGCTATCAAGTTCTTACCAATTCCACTATTTCTGTCCTCATTTCAAGTAGTTTTCTTTCATTAAGTGAGTACTAGAGGAGAAGGGAAAAAAAAGATAAACATGTTGTCCTTCAACCTTTTCCCCCCACACTTAAAAACATGTTTCTTTGCTTCCAAATTATGTAGGACGCATAATTTAGACAAGATTGTTTTCTGACAACACTTGGTAGAGAGTATGGTAGGATAACTGCTGTCCTTTCTAAAAGCACAATTCAGTTCAGACAGGTGTTCATCCAAACCTCTGACCTGTAAAGCACAACTGGTCCATCAGACACTCATCTTCTGCAAAACCTGTAAATATTAGTAAGCAGCTGGAAGAAAGGCTGGCAGACAGCATTTGTGAAAAACAAGGGCCTACAATTCTAAACAGTAACTCTGGAACAGTTAACTAATGCATCAGCCATACAAGCACAACTAAGACTGAACCATCTACTTCCTTCAGGAAGGGGAGAATAGTTTTAAAACATATTAAACTCAGCCATCAAAAAAATGTTTCGCCAGCACTGTGTACACTCACAGTTTGTATTGCTCTGATCATCATTTCATGATGTATTTGGTACAAACAGAACATTTGTACTGCGTGTTAAGCCATTCATTTGTGGCTCATGACAAGTTGTGGTTTATTTTTAAGTTAAAGCTATCTGGGTTCAAGAAAAGTTAAATCCAAATGAAAGCAGCATACCTTTAAAGCAGGTTACCTTCCTGACTCGTGAACAGAAATGATTTACCTTGACATCTCTAATGGTTCCTGACCCACTACTGGAGCAATTGAATTATTCATAGACAGCTGCTAAACCACCAGCCTATAGTGCAGAGTATTAAGGTCATCAGGCACCTATCTCAGAATCCCGTTACACAGCAATAACCTCATCTGTTGACATTCCCACATGGAAAGTCACCTTCTTTTTCCTCTACTCTGGAAGCTTATTCCGTTTTAACATTAAAATCAGATTAATCTACACAACTGCCTCAGCACTGAAAAACCCTCCTTAATGATCTAGAGCTCTGTTTGGACTTCTGACTGATCTAAAGTTGAGAGGCTGCTACGAACATAGAAAATGATCTCAAGACAAATAATAGCATATTTACAATTAATGAAAGAGTTACTATGTTCTGCGAAATGGAGAGAAGGATAAAAAAAATCAGACATTTTATATAAATCTACATTTTTTGGAAGTGGTGAGATGGCAGAGTATTTATAAGCGAATCTAGTTAAAATTATGTTTGGGTAGAGACGCAAGAATTGGACCTCACACTGATAAACTGATCATCACAATCAAAAGAATCATGACAATTATTTTATGGACTGAAATAGTTTGTCTGTTCTACTTCAAACAGATTTTTACTTTAAACAGACACAGTTAGCCAAATACACATCTTCTGAATAATTTACATTCTGCACGCTTCTCTCTGGATGTTTGTTAAAGTTTTGTTTTGTGGCTAGAACTCTCTAGGTCAGACCCAAGGATTTGGAACTTGGGTTTAAGATGGTGAAATTGGCCTTTTACTGCCAGGCATCACCACATGTCTGTAATAACACCTGTGCATTAAAAAAAAAAAAAGAAAGAAGGAAAGACAAGGCTAAACTTCCCCCCCTGAAATTCAACAGGGAGATTTCCCCTCAAGTCCATATTTTTCACAGTGCAGAGAAAATTCAGTTTTGTCAGATGCATCTTGATCTTTGTAACAGCAGCAAGCCTAGAAGCACTGTAATGCAGGAACATATATGGATTTTTGTACTGTACTGCAAGTTTTTAAATCACATCTGTACACTGCAGACATAACTCGCAGCATAAACAGATGTGCACTAAGCAATGTAGGATTCTCTGAGAAAGAGAGTAGAATAACCTAATTAAAAGACAAAGCAGTTAGAGTTTGAAACATTAAAGACTGCCCATATCAGTGTCAACAAATGAAGAAATTATTTTTCAGTACTTACTCCAAGCAAAACTGAAGGATAAGAACATTTTACTTAGTGCTTCAAGTTACAGCAATTTAAACTTTGGACATTTCTCTTTTGAATACTGACTTAGTAAGAACTCATAGTAACCTTCAATTATCCTGAGTTTTAAACTCAGAAAGCTGAGTCCTTAGCTACATTACATCGAAGTAAATGTGACAATGATGCTCTGCCTACTACAGAAAATACTGGACTGTATCTCTGCCCCAACTCAGCAGATGTGCTGCAACCTGCTCCCCATTCATCTGCCTTTTTCCTTTTCTGTTCACGCATGGCAGAGCTGGCAACAGAAGTGGAGTGGAGGGAGAGAAAGAGAAGAGAATTTTCCATAGAAACTATGAAATTATAGTTGCACAACAGACTACAAAGTTAGTTAGCTTTTTTAAGAGGAAGTTGATGTACACAGTTTGCTTCTCCTGGGAGGCAGTCAAAATCAACGCTGTGTACTGCACAAGAGACAAGAGTCCAGATTCCCATATCCTACATTAATATACAAGGAAACATTGGTGCCTAATTTATCACTGGTGCAGTGGTTTTATACAGGTTTTGTAAGCCCGAAGTATTGCAAAGCTTATGATACACAAAATGAGAACATTTCATATGAAGCTTTTTTAAAACATTAGCATGAAGTATTACCCTTTAAACAAGAATTCCACCTGATCAAATTGTACTTTATTCAAGCATCTACTGTGGGCTAACAGACTGTTAGTCATTATACTAAATCACCAAAACAGCTGTTACCTAAACTAATCACTGTGAAAAACTTCAAGGGACACACACAGAAGATAAATGATATCTACTTGAATAGTTCTTATTGCCTGGATGGGAGATAAATATCACATCTTCATTACACACCTGGGGAAAAGGACTGACTAAGAAATAATACTAATAGAAAAAATGTCATTAAAAGATCTTTCAATTTAGAAAATGCAATTTCCTTGAGATCCTAAAAGCTACTGGAAAAAAATCTACGAGAACAGAACTCTAAATAGAGTTCTATGTATAATGCAAAACCTCTTTAATCTTCTAATTCTACACCTCCCCAATTTAAGATCACATCAATTCAGATCTACCAGATATTTCAAAGCCCAAAATAAACTGAACTAGCATCATTTACAATTAAAAAAAAAATTACTACTTCCACAATAGGTATTTCCTGACTAACAGGGAAATGAAACATCTTCAATGATGATAAATTCAGTGAAATGTGTAAACTTCATTAAGTGTGAAAATAGAGAAAGAGATATACTAATAAAATAGTATAACATGTATATATAATATAATAGTATTTATAAAACCTCTAGGCACCCAGTCAGCACGTGAGATTGAATAGCTAATTTACTTACATGTAATGTCTTAATCCTGATACTAAAACAACATCAAAATAGGTAAGACATACGAACCCAAACATGGCACTTTGCAGTATACTGGCGTAAGATGAGTAACTTGGATTAATATGACCTTGAAGCTGAGTGATAGTACAGGTTAGTATGAAAATGTTCTTTGGGTAAGATGCTCTTACCCAAATCTGGTGATTACTCAGTGTTCTGAGATATTTCTAGAAGAAAGTAACCAAGACTTACCAGTTCTTTTACTCTGCTTTTCTCTAGGTTTAGGTTTAACTTGTTATCTGCACGAACTTTGGTAATTTCATCCTAATGGGAAACATTGATAAAGCAGAAAGATTTTTTGTTTAATCATAAGCAGAAAGAATCAGATGAATATATTGTACCTTTCTTTACATATCTCATGAGTCAAGCTTCTCTCCAATTAATGTATATAATTTTCAAAAGTATAAGTATTTCTATCCTTCCCTTGGGAAATACTTATGTTCTATAGTATGAATTGGATCTCAGAATCAAAAACTAAGAATTACTTTTAACCCTGAGAACAGCACTTAACTAAAAGGACATAGAATCATCAAGGTTGGAGAAGACCTCTTAGATCATGAAGTTCAACCATTAGCCTGTGACTCTGCTGTATAAATCCTAAACCACATCCTCCAGCATCAGATCCAGATACCTTGTAAACACTTCCAGGGATGGTGACTCCATCACCTCCCTGGACAATCTATTCCAGTGCCTGACCACCCTAACAGTGAAAAAAAGTTTTCCTAACATCTAATCTGAATCTCTCCTGCCTCAGCATATGACCATACACTCTAGCCCTCTCCGCGCATCCATGGCAGAAGAGACCATCCCCCACCTCTCTACAAGCCCGTCAGGTAGTTGTAAAGAGTCATGAGGTCACCCCTGAGCTATCTCTTCTCAAGGCTAAACAAACTCGATTCCGTCAGCCATTCCTCATACAACATGTGTTCTAGACTTTATGAGCCTCATTGCCCTTCGCTGGACTCACTCCAGTGCCTCTGTGTCCTTTATAAAGTGAGGGGCCCAAAACTGAGCACAGTACTCAGGTGTGGCCTCACCAACGCCGAGTGCAGGGGAATTATCACTTCCCTAGTCCTGCTAGCCACACTATTCTTGACATAGGCCAAGGTGTCATTGGCCTTCCTGGCCACCTGTGCACACTGTTGGCTCATATTGAGCCAGCTGTCCACCAGCACTCCCAAGTCCCTTTCTGATGAACAACATTTGAGCCACTCTTCCCCCAGTCTGTAGTGCTGCATGGGGTTGTTGTGTCCCAAGTGCACAACCCAGCACTACAGAACCTCATGCAGTCGTCCTTGGCCCATTGATCAAGTTGGTCCAGGCCTCTCTGTTGAGCTTTGCTACCCTTAGGCAGATTGACACTCCCACTCAACTTCGTATCCTCTGCAAATTTACTGAGGGTGCACTCAATCCCCACATCCTTCTATAAATGCTGGGAATGTTTCATATACCCTGTAACTCTCTCTGATCTCTAGAGAACCATGCCTAGATAAGCCTCTAAGCTGGAATTCCTCCATGAAGCAACCTCGATGCTCAAAATAACATTGAAAGCACTTTCTCACCTTTCAATGTAAAAGAAAATCTGTTTCTAAAGACTACACTCAGGGCTTTCAGAAAAAGCTCCAGGCATTTTAGAAGTCAGGAAACATTTGTTACATTTTTAAATACCTAACTTTTTAAATGCATCGTAAGTTGTACACTTGCATTTTATTTTATCAATAGTTGTAAGTAATTCCTGCTTTTCTCAGTGACAGCTGCCATTTTAGTGCAACCTCCTGGCAGGAATTCCAGCCAGCTGACAGTTTGTCATGCGGCAAACTGCTGATCAGATGAATGTGTGGGAGAAGCAAAAGATTGCTGATGTTCTGGGAGATTCTACCTTTAGAACCAAGTAAGCATTTCTCAAGTAGGCCAGTGTCAGCTAGGCAAGAGTTCATTAAGTATAAACAATAATGAGACCATTTCTATGTTTGAATTTTGAACCTGAATTGGTTTATCATCAGTTGGCATTACAACATGACACATTACAGTTTAATGTATCAAAAATCAGAATTAATTTTTCTTGAACTTTTACATCGTGTCTTTTTGTATGAGAAAACACAGAATAACTTGACATTGTTATTGTATGTTACATTTACAATTAAAAGCAAAATTTAAAGACATCTAGCTTTTAAGAAAATATGATTCAGATCCTTGATGCACTACCAGTGGATTACACCAACTCATTTACATGCAACTAAATAAGTTCCAATTCAAAAATCAGATGCCAAATGTATTTTAAAATGGTATTCTGAAAACCCAGATGCATTAAGCACTTTATAACACAGTATGAAACATGGAGGATTAGGCTTGAAAAATTTATGCTTTGCTTTTGGAGATGACAGTGCAAAAAGAAATGTAAGAGAATAGGAAAGAAACGGCAAGGAGGCACCAGGCTGGGTTTGACCACACTGTCAGCTAACTTGACAAGTCCAATAGTCTGACAGTTTCATGGACAAATCCTGGGGAAGGAAGAGTGCTCCATCCTTCCAACTGAAAAGGACATCACAGCAGCAAACTGCAGTTAGTTCTGAAGTCAAATGTCCATGTTCCCTAAAACCAGTTAATGTTTCCCAGTTTCCAATCTGAATCACTCTTGCAAGGATGTATGTTGCTGTGTAAAGGCTGATTATGACTCCACACCCACTGAAATGACAGATTTTAGGAGGATCTTGGTTTTGATGGTAGAAGGGTGTTTGGAGTGCTCTGCAAGACAGGCAAACTATAAAGAACAGAAATACAGCACCGATGCTTAAACCTGATAAGACTAAGAATCTGTATGATAATTAACAGACTAAGGTGATAATTAACAGAGTAATTTTTCTACAGAGAGCCTGTTTCCTTGCAATGTTCATTTGCTGCCAAACAAATGTGACCAGACATAATGGTCCCAAACTTGGTGTCCTAAAAAAGCCATTTAAAGACTATTTTAAATTCTGGACAACTAACAAATCAGTCTTCAGAGAAAAACAACAACAACAACAACAAAAGCAACCAAAAAACCTCAAATCACCACAAAACCAAACAATCAAAAGAATCACAATTAGTAAGTGTTGCAATTTTAAAAGTATGCTGCATCTTTACATGTACAGGCAGCCCTAAATGCAGCACTTCACTCAGGCTCAGTCATGACATGCAGTCATTTTCTGAATCTGAATTAAGAAGCTGAAAGTAAAAAATGTTTTCAGTCGTATTTTTCTTCACTTCTTGTACCATTGTCCTGTCCCCATAAATGAATTATGCATGAAATTGTCTTTGCTGCAGCCCACAGTGTGCAGTCAACAGCAATTTCAGTATCCCATGCATCACAACACATAAGCACAGCTTTTAAAACAAAACCTTGAAAGCAACATTTTTTCTTTTTTTTTTCAAGCACACTAGACAGGTGTTAATTCTTAATTTATTGGTATATGGTATCTTACCACAACTTGCTTCTTTATCTGCTGGAGTTCAAGTTTTATTTTCTGAGAGAGTAGAAAAAAAAATTGTACACATTATTACTGTATATAAAGCCACATAATCTAGAAATACTACTGAATCTGCATGATCAGTAACAGTAACTATAATCCATGATGTGAAAAAGCAGGCAAACCAAGCATGCTTATGTCCTCAGTATGTGTACAGCTATATATGAACATGCATGTTTGCTCCTACTGTGCACTTCCAAACAACAGCACCAGGCAGAAATTAGCATTGTCCCACTGGCAGCTCTCTGAACACAGCCCACAAGGCAGCTGGCTGCTTTTGCCATAAGGGCTCATTGCTGCCTCATGGTCAACTTGGTGTCCACCAGGACCCTGAGGGCCTTTCCTGCCAAGCTGCTTTCCATTTGCCTGAGGCTATTCCTCCTCATAGGCAGGACTGGGCATTTCCATTTGTTCAACTTCAAGAGATTCCTGTCATCCCATTTCCCCAGCTTGTTGATGTCCCCATGAATGGCAGCACAACTGCCTGGTGTATCAGCCACTGCTCCCAGCTTTGTGCCATCTGCAGACTTGGTGAAGGTACACTCTGCCCCACCAACAAGGTCATTAATGAAGGTGCTAAACCACTCCAGCCCCACAGTCGTCCCCTGGGTACAGGATGCTTTTTTCACATCATGAGGAAAAAAAATAAGTGCTAGAATGGCACTTTACAGAATAGTGATTTTTACCTCATTTTCTGAACGAAGTGCTGAAAATTCACTTTTTTCCAAAATAATCATGTCCTTCTTCACACCAGCAATATGGGACATTACTTGCTGAAGTGAAATTTCCTTTAAAAGAAGGATGAAAAGCCTCAGAACATATCTTAACTATAATGCTTTTCCTCATCTGTGCCTACAAAGATGATAGACTATTTTGGTACCCTGAAATTTTTAATTCAGCAAATTCAGGTTGATTATCCAAGTTTCAGAAAACAACACAGAGTGACAGTGACAAAATAAGCAAGATGGGCTCAAACACTGGTAATGTTTGACAAAATTAGTAGTGCTAACACAGATTGGAATAATTCAATTGATAGCCCAGGAAACAGTTCCTTCCAAGTCTTCAAGTTTCTAAGCCAGCAAAGGCATTAGGGAGAGGTGTCTCTGAGCTGACTGAGGAAAGCTGGCTTTCAGACCAAAACTCCTCAGTGCAACCATACTCTTTTGTAATCACCTGCTCTTTTACCTCCCCCTGCAAGAGTCATTCTGCTTCAATACTCAGAATCATGCACTCATACTTTTAATTGCTCTACTCAGTCCTTTACACTGAACTGACAGAAGGCAAACAAGATTCCTCTGGAACTTTCAAGGATGGAAAGGTCTGCAGGCATTGTTCTAGATCCTACACTCTCCACATATGCAAACAGGGACTGCCTTCTCTTCTCTGCATATCTTCCTCTAATAAGTAGTCCATTGCTTTAGATTCTGGACTAAGAACCCTACAAATCTGACACAGCACACTATCTGCAGTTTTGTCATGAACTGCTATTCTAACTTGCTGCATTATATTTCTAAGTGGCATCTGGAGATGTCTCATCAGGCTACCTGACCACAAGACTGAAAAGAATGGGTCAGTGTACTGGACACAGTACAAAAAATCTACAGAAAGCACTGCATGGACACTGCTTGTTTTTGTTCTCTCTTCTCCTCAGTGAACTCATCAAACAGAGAACAGAATCTTCCCTATTCTTTCTCTTCCTCTGTACATACACACATATATATATATTTTTCCCTAAGGTTTTATCTAACCAGTGTAATACTTGTATCTTTTACATACCCTACTATGGCCTAGTGGTAATAGCTCATCCACAACATTCCAAACCTTTCTTCCAGTCCTTCACTCTCTTTTTGCACAAGCCCTTTTGCAATCAAAGACTATAAGGAAGTACAGGTTTATCATGTTGCCCAGAGTTCAAGGCATAAACGCTTCCTGAGCTGCTGTACAAACTTGCACATTGAATCTTAATGGCAGAAAGTCACCTCAGGGTCCAACAGCCTGAGAAAACATCTACCACTAGTTGCTACATTTAGTTCAACACAAAACAGAGGAAAATGTGTTCACTCTGTTCAAAAAAACTGGGCACAGAAGGAGCCTGAGACTGCTTACTGTAACATACAGCCAACCATGGGAGAAAAGGATCCTTTGATATGGCATTCCCTGAGTGACTGTGGAACAAATTCAGGCCAGAAGGAAGAAGCACTCCCATGTCTGGTTTGCCTAGAATCTAAAAGCCAGGAAGGATGGCCTGAAGATGGAGGGTGGTACAAACTCCAGGTATTCCACTTCTTAATGAGATGCCCTACCAGCAAGACTATAATACTATGCAAATAGCAGCCACTGTTTTCTCATGTTTTAAGACAGCAGCCTAGTTACTATGAAATAAGTTACTTCTTGTGTTCAGAGGGTGACCTGGGGTTGTGAACCCTGGCCCCACAGAGCAGCCCAAGAGGTTGTACTTCAGTTGTGCTTCTTGTCAGCGTTATCTGCTAGACCAGCTTATGTGTCAAGTATCTAGCATACTAGATATTGTGAATCCCATTCAAAGATGCTTAACCTCCACAGACAGCGAATCTTGTCTCACTCAATTCCAGCTTTATTTCTGGAGCCAGATGCCTAAGAGCTCAACGTGGCAATATTCAATACTGTCATGCTCAATTCCTTACACGGATCTACCTTTGCATGACCTGCTAAAGGTCCCCCCTACCCCACAAAAAACCAAGCTTCGCAGCCAGTATTAGAACAAGCCTCGCCTTCAGACTCAATTATTCCTTAGAACAATCATTCCCACACAAGTCAAAGCCAACAATTCAGCTCAGTTGTAGCAATCTCTCTGTAGCCATAAAGGATGTCTGTAAATACTCAGCATTACCCATCTATTTCCAAGTGAGTTTCCTCCACTTCCCCCCACCAAGATATACATGCTGAGTAGGTTTAGAGGATACCATGAACAATGTATGCATGAAAGGAAAAGGAGACAGAATCCAATATCAGCATCCAAACTATACATGTTCCTCTGATTGGTGTATACAACTACACCAATCATGTCTTAAAAATATCATAAATTAATAAAAAGGTACTACATAACAGGGTGGTAAGTAACTGAGGGAATCTCTACTTCCTTCAAAAGAATATACATAAGAGTTGCAACTATTCAGATCCATGCACTGAATACCTCTTAGGTCTGTCTAAAAGCCTTCTCAGTAACTATTTCATGCTACTATAAGGTTGACACTACGTAACTACTCATGGTTTGAAAACCAACCCACAGTACCAAAATCTGAAGGCCCACCACAACACTTGGGTAAATTACCTGATAAACTCAAGACAAAATTAAGAAGTCAATAGACACAGAGAGATGATTGTTCTCCACCTTCAAATTTTTAAACTACAGTGCCTAACAGTAATAAACAGCAACACATCATTCATTAGCAGGCATGCTAGGCTTTAATTTACTTTAACCCCACCACTGTCTCTGATCTAACCTGCTGTACTTTGGTGACCATGTCCTTGTAAATCATATCCAGGTTGGTGTTCATAATTTTCACTAATGCAGACACAATGACCTCCGACTGCTGAGTAGTGAACCCTAAGCAAAAAAAAAAAAAGCAACAACATTCAGAGGGAGATCTAAAACTGGACAGTTTACAGACATGCCACTTGCTGATACTCAGCACCAAGTTAAAACCACTGTCAGCTATGAAAGGTAATAAAACATACACCTCTTGATCCAGCACAACAAAAGAACAGAACCAGTAAGGACATCCAAAGTTTCCCCACCCCGCATTTATGTCTGTGCCATGATGTGGCTGCTTCTGTAGCTCAGTATTATTATAGTATCAGCAGGATAAATGCTGGGAGTTTTCTAGGGGTATTATGGAATGTCACCTCTCACGTGTGGTTACTTCCATAAGCGAGAATTCTGACCCTGAAAAGCAGATACTTACTGCATTATACTATAAAACTTCAGTGCCACTGAAGATGTACAAACCCGAATACATTGGGAACTACAGTAGAACACGGTCCCTAAAAATATTCTCATCTTTTCCACTTTAAAAATGCAGGAGTAAAAATATCATGCACAAGATTTAATCACTATGAAAAGAAACTCTTGCAGAAGCATGATTGTTTCAAAATATCTAGCAGTTAAGCCTCAGAAAGCACATATGTGAGCAAGTCACTTTAAACAGCTGAGCTGATAAAACAGCTTACCAGCACCAAAGGCTTCCTGTCCCCTTATCCCTCCTCCTGACACTTTGACCTGGTGCTCACTCAGCTGTTCCACCAGGTCATTAAACCAGTATCTCAGAACACCAATCAAGGAGAAGTCCTGGAGAATTTCCTAAGAATTACGCTGGGCTATGGAAAGACATGTGAATACACCTGGCAGGGTAAAGGGACCGGGATCTCTCCTTCTCAGGAATGGAAAGCTGCTAGAAGTCAATTCAGCAATACTGAACTTCATGTTGGGGAACATTCCTCACCTCAGCAACATTAGCATGAATCCAAAATAATCTATTCCCTTGTCTATGCTTCAGCATAAGAGCATTCACACAGCAGCCACATTCTATATAGCATTCTATATAGAGTATATATATATACTCTATCCTAAAACCTTCATTTTGCAAAGTAGTCTGCATGCAATCCCATTGCAATAACTGTTGCATACTGAAGGTGCAATATACTAAATATGTAAGAATCCAATTAATACATTTAAAATCACTACCTTGACAACTCTTTTTATTCTCAGTTCTTAAAATTTCATTTTTCTTTAGCATTTTTAACTACCAGTAGGATACTAAATTATTCCAAACAAATTTATAGAAACTCACTGTTTCCTTTTTGGAGTAGGGGAAAAAAACCTGTATGTTCTCACCCAGTATACAGAAAAGTCCCTCAAAGCCCCACAAAACTCAAGCTGTAACATCAGATGTCAAGGTAAAGCAACAAATTTTGTTAACAGAAAAACCACTCATGAAATGACATTAAAACCAGCTACTTGTTTCAAACAAATTACCGTTTTCTTCCAAGAGGCACACCAGCGCATGAGTGTCAAAAAAAAGCCTCCTGTTTCCCAGTAAGGAAATATTCCCTTTGCTTTGTAAAGATGGTGATGCAGAGATGCTTACATCTGACAAAAAAAAAAAAAAAAGATAAATCATTAGTTATTTCAAAGAAAGAATATTCAACCAACGTGTTTGCTTTCCAGGAGTCTCCTTACAATCCCAAAATGGTCTTCATTTATGACAAGATATTGTGTGTTCAGATTACCACAGCTTGCTTGAAAGTGAAAAGGGCACCAGACTAATAAGTTCTACACTGGAAAACAGAACAATAGGCCACTGCCACCCTTCGGAGATGCTCTCCAAGAACACAACATTCCAGAAAGAATCCCACTGAGTGTCAGTCTTAAAACTGTCCCTTTACTGTCATCAGCACAACCAGTGGGAGCTGTGAGCACTCCCAATGCTGTAAGGGCTAAATCCACACACTCTTCCCACTCTTTGCTAGAAGAAGTGAACCCTCACCGCTTGCCCTTTAGACAGATAAGCAATCACTCACGATTTGCCATTTGCTGCTTTCACAGAAAGCACTTTCAGCACTGAAGGCCAACCTTAAGGCAGCGTGTGCAGCTTTCACTGGGGACAAGTGTATAAACTACCTGGCAGGAGGAATGCAAGGGGCAACATGAGGTGAATTGTCCGAGAGGCAGAACCCTCTGTCGTCTAAGATGTGATATTTAGACAGAAAACACAGCTGTGCCTTAGCTGTCATACTGAAAGGTCTATAAAGAATAAGAAGGAGAAAATCACAGAATATTCAGAGTTAGCAGGGACCTATGAGGATAATCGAGTCCAGCTCCGGGCCCTGCACAGAACATCCCTAGGAATCACACCTTGTGCCTGAGAGCATTGTCCAAACGCATTTTGAACTCTGTCAGGCTTGCTGCTGTGACCACTGCCCTGGGGAGCAGTTCCAGCGCCCAACCACCCTCTGGGTGAAGTACCAGTTACTAATCTCCAACCTCAATCTCCCCTGACACAACTTCAGGGGACAGAGACAGCCCTAACCCTCACCCCCCTCCCCTGGCTGGCCGCGGTGAGGGGACACCCTCCCCCG